TTTTTTTTTTTTTTTTTTTCTATCAAGCCTATAAATTTATTCCAACAAAAAGTTTCTTCCCAATAAGACTTTGTAATACTATAACATTTCATTTTTCATATTAATAAAATAATGAAAATAACAGTCTGATCACTATAACAGCAACTATAGCATTTCGTTTTTCATATTAATAATCAAAATATGCTATTTGTATATTAATAAGTAGATAAAAATTATATTTTATACGGTGAATAAGTAATAAGATTTTAAAGTAATCTAATTTCCTAATTTATTTTCTATATTAATAATATATAATAAGATTTTGAATGCCAAAACGTGTTTGTAAGTAACAAAAAAAAATATGGAATATAAATTTTCAATAGGATTTTTTCATATTAACAATAGTAACTATATAATAATATTTTCAACACAAAAATGTGGTTTTTTTTATATTAATAATAAAATTATATATAGAAACTTAATTGTGCGTTTACATTTTCTCTATAATGTATAAAATGCTGTAAGTCTATATCACACTACACATCTTGATTATCTTTCTAAACTTATCCACGACATCTAAAGAATTGTTTTCGTAATTGTTTAGAAACAACATTTTGAATGGTATCCATTTAAAACAATAAAATGGTTTATAAAGAATTACAATTTTCACATAGATATTTAAAAAAAAAAAAAAAGCTTAATAGTTTATTTTAAAATTTATGAGCTTTTTTAAAAGTGTACCAAATAAATACCATAAACTTTTAAGTTCTTATAAAGTTTTCTAAAAGCTATCAAATAAATATTGTAAATTTATTATAATTAATCTTCTAAACTACGAAATCTCTCTGCAAGATGTTGGATATAAAATTATAATACTAAAGTTGTCAAATATACTGCAGTTTCTATATCTAATATACAATTTGCAACTTCAAATGTATCTAAACAAGATGTGTAAAAAACAATACCGAGTTATGCAAACACACATAATTTAAACATACATGTAATATTATGTACACAAAACTATTTCATATAATATATATAAAATTTTCAATAAATTGGCATATCTTTCAATAAAAAAATTAACATGAAATGATCTATTTTTTAAAATTGATTCCAAAACATATGTTTCGAAATTCACTAATGACTAATGTATTATAATTTGAGATATGTAATTTTAAGATAAAGTGCATAAAACCATGAAAACCCTCCTGCACAACATCTCGATCAAATATATATATATATATATATATATATATATATATTATATAGAGATTGGTTCCAATGCATCTACATTCTTAAATTGAGGACATGAGGCTCAATCCTAGCCACTAAAAAGGTATCAAGATGTGTGGCCAAGATTTAACTCTTTATTTATATAATAATTTTTTATTCTAATTATTTTAGTTATTTAAATATTATTTTTGACCATTGAACGTTGACCGTTGACTCTGACGTTGACCTTTGACTTCCAGCGTTGACTTCCGGCGAAAATCATTGACTTCAGACATTTACTATTGACTTCCGGCGTTGACCGTTGACACCTAATATACATTTTGTGTGAAGTAAATATGCACCCATTACTTTGCAATTGATACAACTAACATACATTGCAACTAAATAAATATAACTTTGCAACTAAATATATCTAAACTTGCAACTAAATATATATAACCTTGCAACTACAGATAACTAACTTTGCAACTAGATACAACTAATATTGCAACTACAGATAATTAACTTTGCAACTACACACAACTAACATTGCATATCAATAAATCGGTTTAAAATTATAAATATATTTAAACACACAAATATGCTTAAAAAAAATAAGTTAGAAAATTTATTTATGAATATTTTTCAAAAAGGTTTTAACAAAAGTTAAATAATATATTATCATTATTTCATAATGATAAGTTTTATTTTCTTTTAAATAAATTATAAAAGATAAATATAACTAATATACAAATCCTTTCACAAGTTTTAATTTTTTCGCAACTTAAAAGTGTAAGTGATAATAATTATTTAAATTATTTTTATTAGTAACATTTTTTCAAAATGTTTTTAGTAAATGACTAAATGTTAAAACTATATTACAATTCTTTCCTATATAAAATTAATAACTATATTACAATTCTTTCTTATATAAAATTAATAAATAAAAAATATTAAATATTCTCTATAAGAAAATAAACAATGATAAAAAAATATTAGGTTGAGTTTTTTAATTCGTATTATTTCATAGTGTTTGAAATTATATATAAAAATTATCACATTGTACTAATATTTAAAAGTGTAGATGGTCTGTATTATTGTAAACATACTAATTTTTTTTAATAAATTGAATTATGTATTTTGGTTTTCTTTATTTAATTAAAAAAATATGATTTCTGATCATCCTTTAATTTAAAGAATATTTAAAATTATTGCCAATATTTTCAATGTAATGACGGTAAAAAAAAAAAATATACTGATTTAGCAATTTTATCATTTACTTTTTCACCCCAAATTAAAATTTATTAATGCCCTTAATAAAGATTTCACATAATTGTTGTTTATTTTTAATATAAAAATGCTTCAATTGGGTGACGCGTCAAAAAAAAAAAATGAGTAAATCATGTTCATGTTTCTGAACATTTAATTTTCTAATAAAATCAACTTAAATTGTAACACATCATTATTTTTATAAAATTTGTTTTCCGCGTCATATTCGCAATAAAATTAATTTTATTACGACATTTCAACTTTTAAGAATGAGACAGATTGATTCGAATTTCAAATTAGGAAAAAAAAAGAAATTACAAAATTTATCCCATATAATTGGATACAAAAGCTACTAACGACTTGCATGTAACCCCTATTAATTTTAAATTTCATTTAAAAAATACTATAAAAATAAGTTAAACTATTTAAACAAAATATCAACTTTTCACTTTTGAATTAAACATTACAATATACGATTGGTCCCAAAAGTTGGTAACATATCCGATGGCCCGACGGGTCGACCCGCTGAAACAATTCACAAATCACAACTCATCAATTATCATCTGGTATGTGGGCTATGGCGACTTCGACCTCCAATTGTAGCTGGAACAAAGCAAAATCGTTAACCCACCAAAAGATCCACTAAAAATTATGTGAAAAATCGAATCTTTTTCCACTGCCCAGTTGTTAGCTTCTTACATCTCTTCTAATTTAGGCAAAATCTCCGAATCACGCGCGCGCCAGGACATCTGTAGCTGTTCGCATGTGGGTCCACAGACACCGATGCAAAATACTGGTGTTAACGGCGGCGCCGGCCGTGTAAGAGCCGAGGATGTGATTTCGAAGCTGAAAGACGACGGCGATTTCGATCGCCTGCGCCTCAAAATCATTCGTAAATTGAAGGAGAATGTGAGTTTGTTCATCTGTGCACTTTGTCTTATCCATATGTGTGTGTATGGTGTTGCTTGATTAGTGTTGTCTATGCGTTTCGAATAGATAAATTTTCATGGGTTTTCTTTGGTGTTGATAAAGGTTGAGTTTTGAAGAAAATGGCCTGTACATTTCCTCTGAATATGGTGTCTAAACATAGGTTTCCATGAGAACTTTTTGATTGGAGTGTTTTTTTATGTTTTCATGAGCTATGTTTTGAAGAAACAATATAACTCTCTGTCTCTGCTATCATTATATTGAGTTGTTTGACATGTTAGAATTCAATGAAAAAGAACTGCTATGATTGACAGAAGAACCGACGGCATTGGCAATTGTCTAAGCTTGTAAGAGTATATACATTTTCTAATGGTGTTGGTGGTTTGGGTTTAATGTTTCGAACTAATCATACACAACTGACTTATACAGTGTTTTTTTTCTAAACTACGTGTGGAACTCATATAGTACCTAATTTGCGTTAGTGCATCGATGCTGGTAACACATGTACACCTTTGCACAAAATATCGGTTCATCTGGAGAAAGCTACAAGTTAGACCCCCTTCTACATTGTGGGCAGGTGGATTTTTGTTTTTTTTTGATTGATTGATTAAGGTCCTTAAGCCATCTTTGGCTGCGTTTGCAATTACTCTCGTCATTCTTCTGCCATTTAAAATGTTAGGTTGAGTTTCTTACTACTTACAAGAGGAACTTAGCAGATTTTCAGATAGTTGTTATTTTTGATTTTGATAATTCAATTTAATTATCTCTTTAAGCAAGGGGATTTTTCTGGTGAACGAGTTTGAACTTCCTTCAATGCAAGACTCGGCTGGATAAACTCTCCTTCCCTTTTGATTTTTTTCCCCTATTAGCCCTTGATTTTCTGACACATGCCGCTCGATTTCTCTAATTTTCCTCAGGAAGAACTACGAAGCAGTATTATATCAATGGTGCAGCAATCGGCTGCACTTAATCGCCCCGGTGTTGAAAATTTGAAACCGCGGCAGCTTTCTGACGCGATACACCAAGAGATTGGGTACAATTACTTTTCTGTCCCTAACTACAGACAATGTGTGATAATCACATGAAAACGTTGTTTGATGAGTTTGGAATCTTTTCAGGGTAAAATTTGACTTTAATTCTGTTTATTTCAGGGACAAAGTGATGAGCCACATCTCCGATGGTGTCTGGAATGTTATCAGATCAGCTGATGGCATGAAAAACGAAATAACAGAAACCGTACAATCAGTTTACGACAAATTATCAAATCCTAGTTTGAAAGACAACGGCGAATCATCCTCTCACAGAGATTCACATTCACCTCGAAACAAACGTGAGAATCATGGTGAGGTTGCCGAAGCTATCGGAAACAATGGCGTGTTATCAGATGGAGAGCCAAACGAGCCACCGGGATTTGGTTCAGCCGATGTAAACAAGATAAACATGAACAGCCAAAAGAACCGACCAGACAATAACAGTTTGTCTGCCCCTCATGGCTTACGAGCCACCGGAAAACACAATGGAGACAGCTTGCACGTGGAGAATATATCAGAGGCTGAGAATATGGACTGTGATGCCCCTCCTGGTTTTCCTTCTATAATCAAGCATGAGAACTCAGGAGATGCCGGTGATGAAGATCCTGATGTGCCACCTGGATTTGGTTGACCAGGTCAAAGTTTTGGGGTTGTGGGGACTCATCATACTTTAGAATTATAGGATAAGTAATTGACGCTGTGACTGGGTAAATTTTGAAGCTAGAAGCTTGCAAAGTCATGATAATTTGAACGGTTTCCTTATCTACCGTAATCTAAGGCTGAAGGGGAATTTTGTTGGGGAAGGCTAGACCATTTAGATTTGAGATAAACCACTTTTGTCCAATTTACAGGTTTAGACTCATAATTCTTTTATTTGAATTGTTTGCTCTGCGGAATTGTCAAGTAGTCTCTATTGACTGGGACCAATGCAGTCTATTTTGCACAGGTCTTTTCATTTTGTTCTACTGTGTTTCCCTGGGCTTGAGAAAGCAGTGTTCAGTTGATCGATTGCCGTATATTTGTTTAACACTGAATTTTAAATTTTTGTGCGCTTACCCTGCTCTATACCTTTTTGCACATGGGGATAGGCTGCTAGTCTGCTCTATACCTTTTTGCAGTTCAGTATATATCAAGCATAGTTGCTTTCACATGCATTCATGAGCAGTGAGGCACAGGGCACTGAAGAGTGAGAAAACGTGTTAATGACATTTTGGCCAGTGTTATAAGATCTTTTGCTTGTTGCTGCAAAGCGGTGTACAGAATACTGAGTTGCGTGCTCGGAATTATATAGAATTTCACTCGTTCGTGCTAAGATGATGATATCATCATCATTATTGTATGAGATATACCATTGAATTATCTCCTTGGATCAAAGAATACAACATAGTGATAGTGTTTTCTTTTATTGAAATTTGTGAGAACTATGTTATGGTAAGAAGGATGTTATCTTCCCTTTTCATACATTTTCCTACGAAGCGTCTTAAGTATTGTTAGGCAGCCAACCATACTTTTTTTAACAAATATACATACTTTCAAATTGAAATGCCCATACTCTAAAAAAACATAAACGAAACGCTGACATTTCATGCCATAAGTATGTGTTTTTGTTTATAATGTATGGGGGTTGACACGTCTAATGGTTAGGCCTTCTCATACAAGAATTTTGTGGTCTTTGAACTGGATGCAGAGCACGATTTAGCTTTTGATGCCTGAACTGTTCTATTAACTTTTCAAGCAGCAGAGAACACAAAAAAATGTAACCATTTTAGGCTACATTTTCCCCCTCCTTCGAATTCCTGAGGTTTGTCGGCATAAGTTCACTCGATTTTTTCATGCTGTATTATGGTGTGCAGGTACTTGTGAAGCCAAGGGCTAGGAGATGTTTGGTACACTACTCTCATTACATTATAGGTGATACCTTTACCTCTAAAGTTTATGTACATGTTGTTTTATAGTGTAGTTGAAACCCTCCCTAGAATGAATAACAAACTTTGTAGTGTTATTCATTGTCTTATTAATAAGCTTGCTTGCAGCTCACGAGCTACGATTTTCTTTGATCCTAGGATCCTTGCAACATAAATATAAGATTCAAAAGCATTAAATCAGAACAGACACCTATTACCATATTTCAAACATTTTTGTTTATCAGCACCTTGTTTAGATAATATCCATATTCTCATGAATTTGTATCTAATTTGGTTCAATTATTAAGCCAACTTATTAAGAAGAGTAAATTTCTTCATCCATTTCAAAATCTATCAATCTGATGGAGGTTTTCATTTGTATCTGTGAATCTGAGTCTTTATTCTCATACAACCACTAACGAAAATTTCTGCATCAAAAGGTAATGTCACTTGAGGTTTGTGCATGCACATAAAAGTTCCCTAAGACTGCTCATACAATTCCTGTCGGGACCAAGTGGACCGAAACTGGAATTCGAACAGTGTGTCGCTCGGAAACCCAGGCGATCGATCCTTGAACGTAAGATCCATTTGCAGTGAACTCTTTTCGGCTAAAATAGATCTTATATTCCCTTTTCTGATTCACTTTAGTAAACCGAAGTACCGTAGGCTCGACTGTCACATTCACGCCCGGAACATTCTCGATCTCAACACGGTAAGTCGACTTGGCATCTCCTACGTTAGTCACTGTTCTCGAATACTCTTGTCCGTTGTAACCAAGCTGGACCGCGAAAGAGGGAATATTCAGCCGTGCTTCTGGCACACCCTTATACTTCAATTTACGGCAGTTGATTTTCTGGCCCACGATGATCCTAACCTGTATTTCCATGTGCAGAGAACACAAGTAGGCAATGTAGTCTTCGACTTTGATATCATAAACGAGCCCTGGATCCAACGCTCCTGATGGGTCCACGTGTCCTGTCCCCAACTGCAAAGACGTTCGCCGGAAGATACCTCTCGTCCAGAATTCGACTCCCATTGAGGTTATCCCGAGTTGCTGATGTCATTATGGCTGACTTGATCATGGCCGGCGACCAATCGGGATGCAAACTTTTCGCCAGGGCTGCAACTCCCGACACGTGTGGGCAGGACAT